CTCCAGCTGCCTCCTTCCCGGCCCTGCGCTGGGATGAGCCGTTGGGTATTCGGGCAAGTTATGTGAAGGTCGTTCAGTGGCTGAATTCCACTTTCTAATTCTTGGCTTTTCTTTTTCTTTCCATCTCAGATACAGAAACTGGAAGCCATTTGAAATCTTTGCAAGCCTAAATTTTCTCTTGGGGAGGAAAAAAAGGAGCGGAATAACTTGCAGGGATCCGTCCTGCAGCCCCAGAAATGGTCCCGTGAAGGAAAAGGCATCTGGAGACCCACCAGAGTCCTTGGACCCATCTGGAGTTGCTCTGCAGGACAGAGAAAGGATGGAGACACAACCTTTTGCCAAGGAGGGAAGCGGAAAAGGCCCTTCAACTGCTCAGCATGGGAAGCGGGGGACAGAAACTAGGGAGAAGATCCAGGAGGAGGAAACCATCCGCCCTTCCAAAGTTCAGCCCTGGAATTTCATCCAACACCGGGAGGCTGAAGGTCCCCGACGACTTTGCAGCCGACTCCATGACTTTAGTAGGCGATGGCTGAGACCAGAAAAGCACACCAAAGCCCAGTTGCTGGACCTGGTGGTTCTTGAGCAGCTCCTGTTCCTTCTGCCCCCAGAGATGGAGGGTTGGGTGCGGGAGTGTGGAGCAGAGACCAGCTCCCAGGCGGTGGCCCTGGCTGAAGGTTTCCTCCTGAGCCAGGCAGAGGAGCAGAAGGAGCAGGTCGAGTTGCAGGTGAGACACTTTAATCGAGGGAGCTCAAAAGGGAATGGAGAATGAATACTTTACCCTCCTTCCCAGACTTTTCTGACATTCATAATAGGTGGTGATGGATATTGGGGGCTTTGAGGTTGTGTTCCGAATATAAGAATCCATTTAATGTCATGTGATGTACATTAATTCTGTTTCTTTTTTCCTTCCTCCTTTTTGAAGTGTTGCACTGTGAAGATCAGAGATCCTGAAGGAAAGAAGAATTCCTCAAACCCCACTCAGAAGCCATTTTTCAGGAGATTCCCTTGGGAAGATCAAAGTTGGGACACCCTAGGAGGTAATTCAAGATCCTCTGATTACCCAGAAAGATCCCATCTACCTTAACCTTCTTCTCTTCTGTAGTATACCACCTCTTATTTTGTTAAATATGAATATTGAAATTATTTATTTCTTACAGAGAAACAAAGAATGAAGTTTTCTATTTTTTACGATGGAGTTCAAACAGCAGTTGAACCTCCAAATCAAGTAAGAAAGGGAAATGTTATTAGATTTGTATTGTTCTTTCCTTTAGGAAGTGAAGTGGGTGTGCAGAGTGCTCCCTCCTTCTATTTCCCCCCCTTGTTTGGACATGGACATCATAATAGCAGGTTCAAGTTGCTCTCAACCAGCACAGCTTCCTCTGTAGACTATTACTGGGACACAATGGATTGTCATTTCTACCCTCTGATTCTGTTTAGGAAATGTTTTTAAAGACGACTGGTTAACTGGTTCTGCTAGGTACTCCTCCAACTATGAGTTTACAAGAAGTAATTTTTTAAAAGAGCTTCAAGAGATAGGAATAAATGTATCACACTGGTTCTAACTGCAAAAGACCTGTTCATTTTGTAATTTTTGACCAGTTTTAAAAAGCCTTGTTCATAACCAGTTGTTCAAAAAATAAGCAAATCATATTTTAAAAAAGCAGAATTTTAAAATCCAAAGGGAACTGCCACATGTAATCACAGTAATTTGGGCCTAAAAATAATTTCCAATCCCCTGATTTGTTCCTGGAGTAGA